AAATGGCCGACGGCACCGCCGCCCGGACCCTCGGGAAGGTCCGACTACCGATGGACGTACAAGGGCGGACATACGTCCACGACTTCTGTGTCCTGCCGACTCTTCGAGAAGCCGCACTCATTGGGATCGATTTGTGGAGCCGCCTGGGGCTCATGATCTCACCACCGCGACAGCTACGGGCCCGACACCGCCAACCAACCTGCGGAAAGACCAACGGGCTGGCTACGCGAACCGAGGAAGAAGAAAACCGCTTGAAAAAATTCCTGGACCACGAACTCAATAAGTTCCAGGCGGTCACAGAACCGACCCCGCTGGTCGAGCATCACATACGTTTGAACCGGACCATACCAATCAAGCAAAGATATCGGCCGCGCAATCCGGCCATGCAAGCCATCATCGACGCGGAAGTCGAAGAAATGGAAAAAGCTGGGGTTATCGAGCCATCCCGAAGTGCATAGAGCTCGCCCATAGTGGTCGTCAGGAAAAAGGACGGAAAACACCGCTTTTGCATCGACTTTCGAAAAGTCAACGAGGTCACCGAGAAAGATGCATACCCGCTGCCTCAAGTCACCGCCCCTTTGGACAAACTACGCGGCGCCCGATATCTAACGACGCTCGATTTAACGAGCGGGTACTGGCAAGTACCATTGGCACCAGAAAGCCGACTGATCACAGCATTCACCGTACCGGGAAAAGGCTTAATGCAATTCCGGGTGATGCCTTTTGGGCTGCATTCCGCCCCGGCCACGTTTCAGCGCCTGCTCGACACCGTCATCGGACCCGCGCTCGAACCGAACGTATTCGTATTTTAGACGACCTTATTATAATTAGCCGCACGTTCAACGAACATTTAGACTTGCTCGCCGAAGTATTCCGTCGCCTCCGTCGGGCCCGCTTCCGGTTAAATCCAGACAAATGTCGATTTTGCGTCGACAACCTGAAATACCTGGGGCACGTTGTCGACCGTACCGGAATTCACACTGACCCCGAAAAGGTCAACGCGGTCGCAAATTGGGCCGAACCCCGCTCGGTGAAACAAATCCGACAGTTCCTCGAGATGGCGTCATGGTACCGACGGTTCATCGAAAACTTCTCGACGCTAGCTGCACCCCTCACGCAACTAACAAAAAAGAACCCCCGCTGGGCGTGGGGAAAAGAGAAAGCCGCCGCGTTCCGACAGCTAAAACACGCATTAACCACCGCGCCCGTACTCGCATGCCCGGATTTCAACCGCCGGTTTTTCTTACAAACGGACGCCAGTACCAGCGGCCTCGGAGCCGTCCTCACGCAATACCACGAGGACGGCGAACGCGCCATCGCCTACGCGGGTCGCACGCTATCCGGCGCCGAAAGAAATTATAGCGCCACGAAGCTCGAATGTCTCGCGGTTGTATGGGGCATACGGAAAATGCGAAATTATTTAGAAGGATACGCCTTCACCGTCATCACGGACCATCAGTCCTTACGATGGCTGCAAAAACTGGAAACCCCGACTGGCCGACTCGCCCGCTGGCTATTCGAACTACAGCAATTTGATTACGAGATCAAGTACCGAAAAGGAGCGCTAAACCGCGTAGCTGACGCGCTCTCGAGAAAACCGGAGGTAAACGCAGTGCAAGCGATACGTTGCCGCTGGTACAATCGATTGATAAACAAAATCCGGCACGATCCTGCCGCGCAGCCGGACTACCGAAGCACGAACAACGGGCTCTATCGACATGTCCTCCACAGTTTAAATTTTAAAGAAACAGCCGCCGACGAACAGTGGAAACTGTGCGTGCCCCGCGAACAACGGGGAGAGATCCTCCGACAGTACCACGATGCCCCCACAGCCGGACACGGGGGGTCGCGAAAACTATCGCCCGCATCGCAGAGAAATTCTACTGGCCCGGAATGTTCCGCGAAATCACCAGATAAGTACGACAGTGCCAGAAATGCCTGGCACATAAGCCGTTGCAACAGAAACCGGCCGGAAACATGCATGCAACCAACGTCACACGACCGTGGGAACATGTCACAGTCGACCTTGTAGGCCCGCTTCCACGATCGCGTCGCGGTCACGTGTGGCTGTTGGTCATGCAAGACCGTTTTTCAAAATGGGTAAAACTCACACCATTAAGGAAAGCCGCGGCACCAGCCGTAACGCGCGAGATCACGGAGCGCATAATCCTGCGACATGGCCGTCCCGATATTATTATATCCGACAACGGTACGCAGTTCAAATCCGCACCGCTAACCGAAAGGCTTAGAGCCTTCAACGTAGAACACCGCACCGCACCCGTCCGCGCCCCACATTGTAACCCGGTGGAGCGTACGAACCGAACGATAAAAACGATGATAGCGCAATACGTCGATCGCGACCACCGCGAATGGGACGAACATCTCCCTGCATTGCAATTCGCGTACAACACCGCCACGCACGACGCCACCGGATACACGCCAGCATATTTAAACCACGGTCGCGAATTAGTACCACCCGCCCCCGCCCTCCTAATAACCCCGGAAGCCCCGGAACCAGACACCGTCCGCCAACGACTACAGGACGCCGAGGAAGTCGTCAGAATCAACTTGGCCAGAGGATTCCAGAGACAACAAAGATATTACGATCTACGACGGCGAGAATGGCGGCCAAAGCTAGGCGAATATGTTTGGAAGCGAAACTATCCGCTATCCAACAGAGCAAACGCATTTAATGCAAAACTCGCGCCAAAGTTCATCGGGCCGTTAGAAGTACGTCGGTTTATTTCGCCGGTAATCGTTGATCTCCGGAGCAAACGCAGGAAGTGGTATCGTCATATACATATACAAGACCTAAAACCCGCTCTCGGCGAAAATAAAAACAATAATATCGACGACAACAACGATCAAACAGAGGATCCGGAAGACAAGAACAATAATATTGACGAAAACAATGACGGGGAAGACGAAGAAGACGTCGAGGAAAACAACCCCACCACGGATTAAAAATCAGAAATCCGAGGAAAAGAGAACAGCCAGAAAGATCACGAGCTCAGAAGCGTTCAATATGAGCACCGAGGAGGACATATTGAAAGAAATAAACGAGATCTTGGGAGAACCCGAGCCGCCGTATGGCCCAGGCGTGCTGGAAGCACCGCCGATCTCCTGGCCGCCACCACCAAAACGGCCGGCGAAAGTCGGCACCGCCATCCAGCGGTCCGACAGGACGAACCAGAGAAAGCTGGCCATGTTGGCCACACCGCCGCCGCCGCTAACCGCCTGCATCCGTCGCCGAACAACGCCGGCACCGATGAGGCCGCCAGCCAAGCGACCAAGGTCGCCATCGGGCCAGGATCCAGAACCAGAGGACCGAGCAACGGGCGAAACACCACCCACCCCCCATGCCCCGAAATCCTGGTCCCGATAGCGCCCGCGCCGCTACCTACGATCGTGGTAGAACTTGAGCCGGGACTAGTAGCGCCGATCCCGCATTTCGCGGTCCACGTGTCCCGGCGATATAAAATCCGGATGCCGCAAGGACGATGGACTTTGCGGTTCGACAGCGCCGGAAAACTGCGCTACCGTCGAAAAATAGAGTAAGGGAGTGAGTGCCTCAAAATTCAGGCACTGTAGGCGGGGGGGGGGGGGATGTAACGATGCACCCCCCATCGTTACCCGACAGTAGATCACCGGAAGTCACACACACACACACACACACACAAGGGATCAAATTTATGCCACTTCCACTTAGTTGATCCTGGATAACACTAAGTGCATCAAAATTCCGAAATTTGAACGGCCGCCATTTTGAATGAGGGGGTCGTAGCGACTTAAAATTTTAAGGGTGTGTTTGTTATGAAAAGACCTTTCAAACGAGCCCCCACTCGACCCTTAATCTAATTTAAAATTTTCAACCCCCTCTTACCCACGCGTACCAGGGGGTGGGAAATGATCGGTATCCATGTCATAGGGTAGCTTTTTTGATAAATCAAAATACGTGTTTTACCGTTTTTTGATATTTTCATTTTTACAAAAATTATTTAGGGGTTTCCACACTTTTGACAAACCCTGTATACTATAAATAACAATGATCCTAATACAGATCCTTGTGGTACTCTATATTCTGTGGTCATTAATTTAGACCATTTATTATTAAATTGAACCTGCTGTGTTCTATCCTTTAAATATGATCTTAACCATTCTATAACTATTCCTCTAAATCCATATTGATATAATTTTGTCTAATAATCTTTCTCTATCTATTGTTTCAAAAGCTCGCTTAAGATTTATAGGCCTAAATTCACTTGCTTTTCTAGCTTTCTTTATTTTTGGAATCGGTATTATCATAGACGTTTTCCAACCTTCTGGACAGCAACCTTTCTTCAAAGAATTATTTATTATATCAACAAATTCCTCTTTTATTACGCAAAATACTGCCTTTAATATATCGCTAGTTATTCCCTCCTCTGTTCCTTTCTTTTTCGGTAGTCCCATAACAATTTCCTGTAAATGCTCTATACTAATCATTTCAAAATTTTCCATAATTCCCTCGTTTTCAATAACATAAATAATTCTTTTATACGCACTCCCAGGTTTACTCCCATTTATAGATTTTACTATACTATTAATACTTTGTATATAATATAAATTAAATTTATCTGCTATATTGCATCCTTCAGTGCTGTCTAATATTTCAAAATCTATATGCTCTACTTCCCTCTTACCACCTTCGCCTCTAATTATTTCTTTTAGTGTTTTCCACATCGATGTAGGATTTTCTTTATTAAGATTTATCATATTTTCATAATATGCTTTCTTCTTTGTTCTAATTAATTTAACTATTGTATTTCTTTCAATTTTAAATTGCAACCAATTTTGTTCCGTGTCAGCATAATAAATGCTCTACACTAATCATTTCAAAATTTTCCATAATTCCCTCGTTTTCAACAACATAAATAATTCTTTTATACGCACTCCCAGGTTTACTCCCATTTATAGATTTTACTATACTATTAATACTTTGTATATAATATAAATTAAATTTATCTGCATCTTTCAGTGCCGTCTAATATTTCAAAATCTATATTCTTTATTTCCCTCTTATCTCCTGGTTCGCCTCTAATTATTTCTTTTTGTGTTTTCCACATAGATGTAGGATTTTCTTTATTAATATCTATCATATTTTCATAATATTCTTTCTTCTTTGTCTTAATTAATTTAACTACTGTATTTCTTTCAATTTTAAATTGCAACCAATTTTGTTCCGTGTCAGCATACAATGCCTTCCTATATGCCTCATCCCTTTTAGCCGCTGCTTCTCTTATTTCATCCGAAAACCACTTTTTCCCTTCCCATATTCTCGGAATTTTAAAATTTTTTCTAGGTGCTGTGGCGTCCAACGCATTTACTATACTATCAACAAATTTCTTCGCTCTCACACTGATATTCATATCTTGGTTTTTCTCTAATTTATTTTCCACTAATTTAATAAATTCATCTATATTAAACTCTCTATAATTCCTAACACTAAGTTCTCTGTATTTATTTTCAAATTTATTCGCATTCAGTTCCACTTTTAGCCACGCATGATATGTTATTTTAGGTTCATGCATTACCTGCACTTCTATTTTATTATTAGCGAATATTAAATCTATATTTGTCTTACTACCTTTCGTAATTTTCGTCGGTTTATTTACATATTGTTTCATGCCTAAGCTCAACATTGTCGTTTGTAACTTCCTTGTATAAAACGAATCTAACATAATATCTATATTAAAGTCTCCTATTATCATACATTCTCCCCGTATTATTAACTCTTCTATTATATCCTCCAGAAATCTCACGAAATCACCATGCGATGCACTCGGTGAATGATATATTACCATTATTATTCCTCTATACAATTTTTCTTTCACCTCAATCGCAGCACACCAACAATTCGATTCTAATTTTTTTTACTAATACTATTTCATATTTAACATCATCCCTTATATATAAAACAACCCCTCCTGTATTTCTATTTTCAGCATCGCATATAATTATGCTATAACCTGGTACGTTCACTTCACTGTCTTCAATTTCAGCAGTCAATCTTGTCTCTGATAACGCTATGAATGCCGGATTTATTTTCTTCATAATCTGATGTTGTATCTCATCTTTATGCGCCATCAAACTTTGCGCGTTTGTATACAATATTATTTCCGCTTCCTTCTGTAGTTGCTATTTCGCATCTTCCCAGCCGGCTCTCCTCTTCTCCTCTTGTATCGCCCTTTTAAATGTTGGACATTCTGGGCTAAGGGCGTCGTGTTCATCACTTATCTTCAGGTTGTATGTTCGAATTTTAAACATACAATTTACACATTTTTTCTTTGTTGCCGTACATTCAATCGCTTTATGATTTCCCGCACATTTGTGGCATGTTTCATCTCGCGTACAATTTTTTGCAATATGATAGTATCCCCAGCATTTAAAGCATCTTTTAACATTAATGTGATTGAATATAGGACATTTTCTCCATCCTACATTTAGTTTCTCCTTTTTCAACATCAATTCATGCGTTTCTTCATCTACTTCAATTATTATCGAACCTTCTTCTTTTTCTCTTCTTCTAAGTTGATTATTATCATTTCTTTTTTCTTTAACTATTTTCTTCACTATTCGCATTTGGAATCCATCATTTATTGCATCAATTCTATTCTGCTTCTTGATTGTAGTTATTAAGTCATCATCATCCAATCTCATTTCTTCTTCGCTGACATTGATAATTTTTATTTTTGGCTTCATCTGCGGTGATTCCGTAACTTTGAAATTTTCTCCTAGTTTGTCCTGCACTGTAGCTTTCAACGTTTTCATTTCTTCTCCAGTTTCACAACCCATGATCACTGTCCCCTTGCTTCCTTTTTTTAGCTTCGTTATTCCCATCGCCATGTTTTTGATATCTACCTTTTCTTTTATCAATTTTTTTGTAACTTCACTCTCTTGTTGAATCTTGGGTTTGATAATTATAACATTCTCTTTCTTTTTCTCTTTAACCGCTTCACTATAGCTCCTTTGTATTCCTCCTGTTGATCCACATACTTCTCCCTGTATCATTCTTTTCAACTCTTCTAGCAGTTCCTGCTTAACATTTCCCAATTCTTCTCGAACTATTTCCTTGACCATCATTTTAATTTCCTTCTTACATGCTGTTTCATCTTTTATTTCCTTCACTATTTTTATAAGCCAATCTATTTTTACGTCAATAGTCGATGATCCACTCGCTCCTGATAATCTATTTCCACTACTTGGCGTCGTAAACGAACCTATAGATCCTGTAGATCCTAGCCTGTCCCTGCCGCCCCCGGCCACTGCCGATGCCTTCTTCATATCTGCTTCACTTTCAATTGTAAATCTGTCAAATGGGCCAGAACACGGTACCAATTCTTGATTTTTATCGTAAATCCTATGCTTGCTTACACATCCTGGATGGTAAAACAGCTTAATACAATTCACCTGATAGCAAGACTTGCATGTCACCACCTGATTTTTTATTGTCTTTTTACATGCCGAGCATCGATATTCAGCATATTCATCGTCCATGCCGATAATTATCGGCCGAAACCGCTAATATCAGCGTAAGCGATCAGTCACCTCTGTTCCACTGTCACACGTCAGCACTTTTGTGTCCACCTTTAATGTCTACCTGTCGTGTGAGACTTTGGTGTCCCAGACAGGAAATGCACTTCTCACGCCCACAAATCAGCATATCCCGGCTAGATAACACTCATGGCTAATGCCGGTCTATGCCGCTATGACTTGAATAACTTTCTATCACTCCCCGTAACTATTTAACCGTTTAAAAGTTATTACTTTTGCGGAGCGATGTTTGACACGTCTTCTCCACTGCAGAGAGAGAGAGAGAGAGAGAGAGAGAGAGAGAGAGAGAGAGAATGCATTACCTGCATTTCTATTTTATTATTAGCAAAAATTAAATCTATAATTGTTTTACTATCTTTCGTAATTCTCGTCGGTTTATTTACATATTGTTTCATGCCTAAGCTCAACATTGTCGTTTGTAACTTCCTTGTATAAAACGAATCTAACATAATATCTATATTAAAGTCTCCTATTATCATACATTCTCCCCGTATTATTAACTCTTCTATTATATCCTCCAGAAATCTCACGAAATCACCATGCGATGCACTCGGTGAATGATATATTACCATTATTATTCCTCTATACAATTTTTCTTTCACCTCAATCGCAGCACACCAACAATTCGATTCTAATTTTTTTACTAATACTATTTCATATTTAACATCATCCCTTATATATAAAACAACCCCTCCTGTATTTCTATTTTCAGCATCGCATCTAATTATACTATAACCTGGTACGTTCACTTTACTGTCTTCAATTTCAGCAGTCAATCTTGTCTCTGATAACGCTATGAATGCCGGATTTATTTTCTTCATAATCTGATGTTGTATCTCATCTTTATGCGCCATCAAACTTTGCGCGTTTGTATACAATAATATTGCCGCTGTCTTCTGTAGTTGCTATTTCGCATCTTCCCAGCCGGCTCTCCTCTTCTCCTCTTGTATCGCCCTTTTAAATGTTGGACATTCTGGGCTAAGGGCGTCGTGTTCATCACTTATCTTCAGGTTGTATGTTCGAATTTTAAACATACAATTTACACATTTTTTCTTTGTTGCCGTACATTCAATCGCTTTATGATTTCCCGCACATTTGTGGCATGTTTCATCTCGCGTACAATTTTTTGCCATATGATAGTATCCCCAGCATTTAAAGCATCTTTTAACATTAATGTGATTGAATATAGGACATTTTCTCCATCCTACATTTAGTTTCTCTTTTTTCAACATCAATTTATGCGTTTCTTCATCTACTTCAATCATTATCCAACCTTCTTCTTTTTCTCTTCTTCTATGTTGATTATTATCATTTCTTTAACTATTTTCTTCACTATTCGCATTTGGAATCCATCATTTATTGCATCAATTCTATTCTGCTTCTTGATTGTAGTTATTAAGTCATCATCATCCAACCTCATTTCTTCTTCGCTGACATTGATAATTTTTATTTTGGGCTTCATCTGCGGTGATTCCGTAACTTTGAAATTTTCTCCTAGTGGTCCGTTATTTTAGGTTCATGCATTACCTGCATTTCTATTTTATTATTAGCAAAAATTAAATCTATAATTGTTTTACTATCTTTCGTAATTCTCGTCGGTTTATTTACATATTGTTTCATGCCTAAGCTCAACATTGTCGTTTGTAACTTCCTTGTATAAAACGAATCTAACATAATATCTATATTAAAGTCTCCTATTATCATACATTCTCCCCGTATTATTAACTCTTCTATTATATCCTCCAGAAATCTCACGAAATCACCATGCGATGCACTCGGTGAATGATATATTACCATTATTATTCCTCTATACAATTTTTCTTTCACCTCAATCGCAGCACACCAACAATTCGATTCTAATTTTTTTACTAATACTATTTCATATTTAACATCATCCCTTATATATAAAACAACCCCTCCTGTATTTCTATTTTCAGCATCGCATCTAATTATACTATAACCTGGTACGTTCACTTTACTGTCTTCAATTTCAGCAGTCAATCTTGTCTCTGATAACGCTACGAATGCCGGATTTATTTTCTTCATAATCTGATGTTGTATCTCATCTTTATGCGCCATCAAACTTTGCGCGTTTGTATACAATATTATTTCCGCTTCCTTCTGTAGTTGCTATTTCGCATCTTCCCAGCCGGCTCTCCTCTTCTCCTCTTGTATCGCCCTTTTAAATGTTGGACATTCTGGGCTAAGGGCGTCGTGTTCATCACTTATCTTCAGGTTGTATGTTCGAATTTTAAACATACAATTTACACATTTTTTCTTTGTTGCAGTGCATTCAATCGCTTTATGATTTCCCGCACATTTGTGGCATGTTTCATCTCGCGTACAATTTTTTTGCAATATGATAGTATCCCCAGCATTTAAAGCATCTTTTAACATTAATGTGATTGAATATAGGACATTTTCTCCATCCTACATTTAGTTTCTCTTTTTTCAACATCAATTCATGCGTTTCTTCATCTACTTCAATTATTATCGAACCTTCTTCTTTTTCTCTTCTTCTAAGTTGATTATTATCATTTCTTTTTTCTTTAACTATTTTCTTCACTATTCGCATTTGGAATCCATCATTTATTGCATCAATTCTATTCTGCTTCTTGATTGTAGTTATTAAGTCATCATCATCCAATCTCATTTCTTCTTCGCTGACATTGATAATTTTTATTTTGGGCGTTATCTGCGGTGATTCCGTAACTTTGAAATTTTCTCCTAGTTTGTCCTGCACTGTGGCTTTCAACGTTTTCATTTCTTCTCCAGTTTTACAACCCATGATCACTGTTCCCTTGCTTCCTTTTTTTAGCTTCGTTATTCCCATCGTCATGTTTTTGATATCTACATTTTCTTTTATCAATTTTTTTGTAACTTCACTCTCCTGTTTAATCTTGGGTTTGATAATTATAACATTCTCTTTTTTTTCTCTTTAACCGCTTCACTATAGCTCCTTTGTATTTCTCCTGTTGATCCACATACTTCCCCCTGTATCATTCTTCTCAACTCTTCTAGCAGTTCCTGCTTAACATTTTCCAATTCTTCTCGAACTATTTCCTTGACCATCATTTTAATTTCCTTCTTACATGTTGTTTCATCTTTTATTTCTTTTACAATTTTTACCAGCCGATTTATTTTTACGTCAATAGTCGATGATCCACTCGCTCCTGATATTTTATTTCCACTACTTGGCGTCGTAAACGAACCTATAGATCCTGTAGATCCTAGCCTATCTCTGCTGCCCCCGGCACTGCCGATGCCTTCTTCATATCTGCTTCACTTTCAATTGTAAATCTGTCAAATGGGCCAGAACACGATACCAATTCTTGATTTCTATCGTAAATCCTATGTTTGCTTACACATCCTGGATGGTAAAACAGCTTAATACGATTTACCTGATAGCAAGACTTGCATGTCACCATCTGATTTTTTATTGTCTTTTTACATGCCGAGCATCGATATTCGGCATATTCATCGTCCATGCCGATAATTATCGACCGAAACCGCTAATATCAGCGTAAGCGATCAGTCATCTCTGTTCCACTGTCACACGTTAGCACTTTTGTGTCCATCTTTAATGTCTACCTGTCGTGTGAAACTTTGGTGTCCCAGACAGGAAATGCACTTCTCACGCCCATAAATCAGCATATCCCGGCTAGATAACACTCATGGTTAATGCCGGTCTATGCCGCTATGACTTGCATAACTTTCTATCACTCCTCGTAACTATTTAACCGTTTAAAAGTTATTACTTGTGCGGAGCGATGTTTGACACGTCTTCTTCACTGCAGAGAGAGGAAGGGAGAGAGGGAGAGAGTGAGAGGGGGAGAGAGAGAGGGGGGGCGAGAGAGGGAAAGGGATGGAGAGATAGGTAGTTAAGGAAGGAGAACGGGTGGGAGGGAGAGGGGAATGGGAGAGGAAGGGGAGAGAGAGAGAGAATATGTGTATATGTACGTCCCATTACACCGCACGATCATGCCGCCACATAAGTAAACAAAGACACGTGTCGGTATGCGGCATATATAGCGCTATTGTTTTGTGTATGGAATGTCTCACTTTGTTGTCATTCATACAGTGACAGCGAGTAGGCAACAACTCCATGTGTCGTTATAATATGTATCTTGTTATACGCGATCGCGAAAATTATTAAAAGATATCTGAAACTCGATCTCTATAATAATTAATAACTAACGATTCATAAGCGATTGCTATTTGTCGAAGCAGATATTAATTTCGTGTCATTTATTGTTATATATGTATCGACACGTCTTCTCCACTGCAGAGAGAGAGAGAGGG